AGTAATAACAGTTCTTTAAAAAAAAAAAAAAAAAAGTACTAACAGTTCTTTTTACCTTTTAATTAACATATTTGAAAAACCACAAAAGTTTACTTCTTAGTCCTTGCATCCTATTATTGTTGTTACTTTAATTTTTTCTCAAGCAACATAAGAGACGTAATTTTCATGTTTATTGCAGTATTCCTCTTGGTGGGTTTTCTTTCTTTCTTTCTTTCTTTCATTTTTTTTTTGTGTGTGTGTGTGTGGGGGGGGGGGGGATGAGGAGAAAAACTCGCATCGCCTACTAACAAATGAAGGATAGGGTAATTTTTTGAAAAAAATATATAGTACCTATTTTGCAAAATCAAACACATTTTTATTTAATACATTCATGTGATCACCTGTCAGTGCCAGTGTGTGTTTGCTCAAATTGCCAGCACCAAACCCGCATAAAGGAAAAGGGTTACTGGGATCATTTGGTTGCCGGTTAGAGTTATGCAGGTATTAGTTATATATGTATTAATTATGCATGTATTAATTATGCAGAAATTAGTTATGCAGGTATTAATTATACATCGATTAGTTACGCAAAAAAATTTTCTTTGAATATTTGGTTTGTTGTATTAGAAATTGATATACATTATACAAATTTTAAAGTAAAATACTTATTTACTGATTTTGTCTCTAATAGAGTGAGAAGAGGAAGAGCCTAGCATTGAGGCATCAATATCTCCATGTTTGTTCTCCAAAGGGTTTGATATAAATAAATCTATAGAAGGAAGCCTTTATGTGTAAAATGATAGGGGTAAATTTGTCATTTCAATATTTTATCCATGTATTACTAATACATGTATTAGTTATTCCATCTTCTACCCCGCATAAAATAATACACATATTGACTCATAACTTATACATGTATTATTAATGTAGAATTGTAAAATGACAACCAAGCATGGTATTAGTTATGCTGAATTTTGTACAAAATAACTAATGGCTACCAAACATTGCACAAGTTATGTTGCCCCTAATACAAATAAATTTTCTCCTAACCAGCTACCAAACGACCACTTAATGTACACTTGCAACCAGCATAAAACTAGCCAATTCACGATGAATTTTAGTAGGAACATGGTTTGTGAAGATTTGTATTCCCAATTGCCTACTGTAATAAAATAGCGGGAGAGAGGGAAAATGGTTTGGAGGTTGATATCCTACAACCTCCAGTGCGAAAAAGTAAGAAAGTCTTTTAACATGGAAAAATTAATGCTTTTTCATTGAGAATGGAACAGGTTTTAAGGTACACTAGGACACAGTTGAGTTAACAAAACTACTGACTATGCTTCTCGGTTAAAGTTCCTGAATGCGGTAACAGCGAGACACTACTACAATTCCGACCTGCAACTAAGTAAAACCAAAACAAATCACACAAACTATACCAGGGCCCCTTGAAAAACATCTAGTACTTCTGAAAGCAAAAGAAAAGGAAACAAGACTGTGTAGAAGCAGCTAATATACCTTGTAAATTCATCATTTTTCACGGCAATCCAATGTGCTTCAGATTTGATTGACTTCTATAGAAGAAAATTATCTATCATATGTTGTATAACATCAGCACCTTCTGCATGCATGTATTGATCTTTCACCTATAAGCAATACGGCGAGCATTACACAATATTGATCTTTCACCTTTACGAAATAACAGCGAGCATTATATATTAACTTCATAAGCATGAAGATCTGAAAAGCCTTAATTACTGTACAATATACTCTTTTAGTGTGTGATTTCAATGGCAAAACAATAGGACCTAATTTTGAGACAGCACATAAAATCTGAGGGACATAAAAACGTTTTTAAGTCTGAAGCTCTATCTGGAACACTAGAAGCATGGAATATAAGCTCCCAAAATGTATTAGGAAATTTAAAATGTTGAGCAATACAACTGATCCAATGATCGTTGCTCACTAACATCTATATTCATGCTCCAAATGCCTTTTATTAACCTTTATTGCCATTTAGTTACAGGATTTATGAAGTGAATGACACGTTCGACCCCATGATAAGCAACATAGATGACCTAATATCAGCCTTACTTGCTAACACCAGATTCAGTCACCAATCAAACACCTCTTTGTCCCAAACTGCATCAGACGCCAAAAACATATAAGTAGTACTGTGTTAGTGCCTTTAGCATAGCTGGTTTAAACTTCGGCAGATATGAACCACGCGTAACTTGCAGAAGAAACGCTCCTCCAAGGATGTCAAAATTTTACAGAAGCTTTTCCCACCACGACCACTCTTTGTCAATAAATTACCCATAAAAACCTAATAACTCAGCAATCTGTGCACAAATGCCTTGACGCTGTATAGCCTAATAGGCATAAAAGTAGCCAACTTTGAAGATTTAAAAGGGCATGAAATTCATTACTAAGTTGTTCCTATCACCATCAGTCTCCAAGCCTAAAATATACCCTAGTACAAACATATTTACTCAGAAATTAGTGCACAAATGCTCTTGAAGCTATAAACATAAAAGTAGCCAAATTCTGAAGATGTACACCTTTACAGGTTCTACAACTCAAGTCTGATCAACGTTACATGGTAAACAACAAGACAAATAACACCTTTACAACAGCTCAGCTCTCATCGACATTATATGGTGGACAAAAAGTGTTTCCTACCAAGATAAGAACAAATAAACTTTTACTAAATGGGGTAAAAAAAGTGGCAACATTTTGGCAAAAAACTGATGTTTTCAATCCGTTTAAGCAAAGTAGGCATTATATTGCAGGACACCTTGTGTATTTGGTTTTGTATATGTGACCACTGGAAGCATCCACCTGATTTGAATTTTCACATATAGGGAAAAAGTAAAACGGCACAGTACCCATGTCAAATATAGTGCACAAAAAGGCTTTAGTCAAGCACATGATAGACAATCTAGTCCAAGTAATTTTCATTTTTGAACACCACACACGCGCCCTCTGCTCAAACCTATATTCTTTTTCTTTCTTTTACTTTTTTTTATATGCATCCCAGAGAATAAAGATGGAAAGGGAATAGGAGGAATAATGCCTGTTCCAAGTGTAAATTTTGTTGGTAAACATGCAGTTTCTCAAAAAATAAACCTAAAGAATATGCCTTGTTTAAGTAGGATAACTAATAAATGCTTTTGCTAATTACTCCCTTAAGCCCAATTTATGTGATGCACTTTCCTTTTTTAGTCTTTCCCAAATAGAACGATACCTTTCTATATTTGGTAAGGATAAAATTTTAGACTTTCCAATTACCCTTATTGAGAGGATTAATAGCCACACAAATATCTACGGCTTGTATTAGACCATAAGTTTCAAAAGTTTTTTTTTCTTTCTTAAACTCCATGTGCATCACATAAAGTGGGACGGAGGGAGTAATACTCAAGGTAACAAGTAAATGCAACACGACATCCAGGACAAAAACAGGAGTTATTGACAGCCTTTTATCTTTAAGGTGTAAGTGATAGTAAGTGATAAAATAAACACACAATTCTGATTCATCAATTTAAATAAAATGTAACTGACTGTGGTTCTTGGAGAACCAAAAAAGATACTCCTTGTCTCAATTTATGTGGCACCATTCGGATTTCAAATCTTTTAATTTTGACTGTGAGGACATGGAATCTTTAAGTTGTTTGAAAATATTTGGAAACTACGTAAAAAGTACTATAAGTCACAATAATTAACAATTCAAAATATTTAAAAAGCTTATGAAAAAATCAGCAGCCAAAGAAAAACTCATTTGACTCTCGAATTCTGAACGGTGTCACATAAATTGGGATGGAGGGAGTATCAGAAAATGCTCTGTGCATTAACACTATCGTCTATGTTATATATATGTGATCCATATATATGTAGAGTCTAGAGAGAGAGAGAGAGAGAGAGAGAGAGAGAGACTATGGGGAATACAGAAAGAGTGAGACCTGAATAACACTATGTGCAGCAAATCTGAGCCTGCTGCTGTGAAAGCTGACATCTACTTTCTCCCAAGACACCCGAGACAAACCAGTCACCAATTCCTCTGGATAATTGGTCAAAGCATTAGCACTAGAGTATTTTCTTGATAAGTTAGTCAGCAAGAATTAGTAATATAATATTAAGAAGCCAAGATACAAAACATCCTTTTCACTTCCCTTTCCTTCTTCAAGATGGTATTATCAACATATAATTCAAAAGGCGTTAAACTCAAATCAGAAACTCTAAATTTCAGTTGCATTTAAAAACAATTACAATTGGAAAAGAACAAATACTTCAACTAAAGACTTGCTATCTGAAAAAGATCGGATGGCCAAAGACAACACTAATTTACAAACAAGATTGCATAGTACTTTAGGATCAACAGAGTCTTTCTTTGTATTGGTGCTAAGGACTAGATAACAGAAAGAGTGGAAATTAATCATGCATACATTTTCGAACATATAGCATCACCAAAAGCTCAGCGAGAAGCATTAAGCTAGGGGGAGAGCAAGGATCAGAGGAAAGAACCTAACAGGAGACAATTTACCTAAAGTCAACTTCTTGCCATAAGCAGAGAGTTACTAACCTTCTAGCTTGTCAAAACAATCATCTTCCTTTACAACAGATTCACTCTGCTCACTATCGCACGCCTTGCAATGTTCTTCATACACAATGTGAGGATACTTTTCATTTAAGGAGTCCTCCCACTGTAAGCACAAATTATTATGACAGCACATGAGATTTAATAGGTAACTACTATCAGATATTAGCTATTGTACCTTGGGCAGTTCAGTATTACGTCTAATTGATGATGTTCTCCAACCTACAATATCTATAACAAAGTTTGTTAAGGAAAAATAGTCTTTAATCTTTAGAAGTCTGGATATCAGAGGCTGGTTGCCTGATTCAAGTTCAACAGTACAAACAGGATACGATCATAACCAACATTTGAATATGCGACCCTTCGCTTGAATGAACCCAACGCAGACCTGCATGTACGAGTTTTGCAACAAATTAGCATCAAATGCTATAGTTTTTACCACAGACCCTCATAAATGATAGGACTATGCTGTCTAATGAACGTAGTAAATAATCTTAGAACTTACATAAAGTGTAATTCACCATCATCTTCCACCATCCGCCTCAGTAATGGAGTCTTTCCTTCATCTTCATTAAGAAAAAGGTGTCGACCAGTTCTCTTGAATATCCAATGAACAACAAGACCGGCAGCTTTCTCAAAGGCAGTTACACCAAAAAGAAATGGCACCTGACAATTAGCAAATAAAATAAAAATTGCAAAAAATCCAACAGTGATCTAGTAGATCTTGTAAGGTAGGGAGCAAACTCACAATCTTAATAATGCAAAAAGAGACTTGAGGAAAAGAGGAATACTTGCTCATACCCAAAGATCTAGATGACAGAAGAAACACGGAAAAAAATTTGCCTCTTGATTCTTCTGTCAGATAACAGAACATTTTCCTTTTCACAGGCCACAAGATTAAGCAGGGATCAATATCTACCACCCACTACTAAAGAGGATATCTCCACAATACTGATTATAAGCTAGACCAGTTGATAATTGAGTATGATTAAAACCCGTAACTGACTACATCATTCTAAAAGACGTTGTGCCATGCAGAAGAATGTAGTTTACAAGTAGTTTCTACGTTAATCAGCAAGTTTGATTTCTTTTACATTTCACTAACTTTGAGGTTCTCATATCAAAAGAAGGAATCACAGTCAAACACAGGAAGACCCTGATGCAACTTCGAGGTTACTAAAGATAAGGCTTGTTAAGATAAGTTAAAAATCATCTCCCGGTGGTTGCATTCTTTGGACAACTTATCAAGTTGGAGGGAGACAACACTGTCTGGAAAGGAGGAATACTTACTGTTATTTTTTCGGTTCAAGCAGCTATAGAACTTCGCATCTTGAAGTAAGACTTTCCAGGTCCTTCCTGATGTGGATTATTTTTTCTGACAAATTAGATGTATCTTTCCTTCTTCATTTTTTCCCTTGGTGGAGTGCATTCCTTGCTTCTCCATCTTAATTTACCGTCTTATGTTAATAGTACTGGTGCTGTTTTTTTCTTTGTCAAACATGTGAATTTATTAAATATTTTTTCAGGTTTTTTGCTGATATTTGTCTCAGCACTTGTTACTACATCAATAAAGGATGGAGATGATACTCTTAGATGAGGAATCTGTCATTTAAGGAGTTTGTGATGGGTTTTTCCCCCTGATAGTTATGATATTAATACATAAACTTAAACTTGTATAATGGGTGCTTTATGACTAAACTATTATATGTTTACACCAGCACTAGACCCCCGGTAATCAAAAACATTAAGTGTGAAATCATGGACAGCACCACCCATAATCCCCAGGTTAAAATCCATCACAAAGTGATTTTAAAGCCATGACAGTGGTGCGCTAAGTGACCCCGTAAGCACAAACTAAACTTCACAGCCAACAGTCTCAAGACACCAAGAAATGGAACCCCTCTCATCCAAGAGTAAGCTTCATCAGCTTAAAGAGACATAAGACATCATGGATGCAATGATTGATCTTTGTTCATCAGTGACACATGATGAAGCCACTTTCTATCAAACCTTAAATTATTCGTAAGATTATTATTTAAAAAAAAATTGATACCTGCTTGTTACCCCTTGAACCCAGATGAGGTGATGCGACAGTGATAAAATTTATTGGTTCCAGGCCCGCTATTGTGCCCTTTGACCCTTCTTCACTGGCATCGGCTGAGAACTTCTTCACATTCTCCATTCTTGGAGGTCTATATAATTTCCCAATTGCATATCTTGCCACTACTCCTCCAACAGAATGTGCAACAAAAGAAATTTTCTTCAAACCTGGCTTTCTTTTGATCACTTCAAGAACCTAACATCCATTTCCATATCATTACCATCAGATGGGGTACATACAGCATGCTTTAAAGAAAATATTAGAAAAAGGAACGGGGCGGAACAAAAGAAAATCAAATCACATTATTAAAAAAAACAACCTCCTCAGCCAACCGCTCGCCCATTACATCCACTCCATCCAATGTTAGTTTAGCCATATTGCGTTCACTGCCTGCCAAGAAAATCATGTGAATTCATCAAAAAAGCAAAATATGTTCATTAAGACTGTGCAAGACTTCCAAGTGCTCAGCCATTATGAAGAAGGTAAAACAGAGACATAGATATAATAAGTTCCACATGAGCCACGAAAAGGAAATCTCTTGTTACGGAATAATTTTGCTATCTATTTAACACAAGCATGCTCAAATTAGAAAGGGGCCAATGAAGTTGGGAACTACAATCAGAGCAGACTTGCACCTTTAGTTGGCAGTTTACCAATGAGAAAAAGCTTGAACTTTTGCTAGAAAAATTCAAAGTTCATAGTCCCAATGGAAGAAAGGATGAGATGAGGGAGTTGTAAGCTAAAAGAAGTTTAAAGTTCAACATTCACATAAGAAATAAGTTTCACCACCTTATGAAAATGTTTCTATATAAGAAGTAAAAGGGCTTTTCCCTAGAGTAACCGAACCCAACTTTTCCTTCACCAGCTACTACATATGAAGGTCTCTTGATATAGTATTAATAAGCAAGTATAATATTAATATGCAAGACTCATTGGTATACTATCTTTACTTCAACTCGAATGAGAGCTTCTAGATGAGAAACATATATGAACACGAAATTCTTGCAAGAAACAATATGTAAAAATTAGACTTGAATAAGACATGTAGCCATTGACAACTTCAGATCATAACTCATAGGTTCTCTTTTTTTCTTTCCTTTTTTCAGAAATTCAGATCATAACTAATAGTTAAGTTGAGCAACTATGCTCCACTAATGTAGACGGACAAATGATTACCAAAAAGTAACACCAAGTAGACCAATATGCATCTTTAATTGTGACAAATAACAAAGCGAAGTGAATGTTATTAGATAAGAGCTCAAGCAACAGCCTACTAAATTCACTTGGTCTCCTAAAACAACAATCTCATGGTCGAAAATTGCTGGAACAGAACATATTGGAATAAATAAGAAATTTAGTCCTTTAGTCTAATCCTTTTTATGTCATGCATAAACAATGATGTGGAACGGGAAATCACATAGCATAAGAGGCGGAGTGTGGAAGGAAAAAAACAGATTAAGCGCCTCTCTAGAGAAAATGAAGATAAAGTAAGTGAAACCTACTTACCTTGTCTATCAACATAGCAAGCAAGAATAGAAGTATATTTTGTTATTTACAGCAATAGCAACCTAATCCTAAGAGAGGAGGATTAGAGGGTGGAAAAAACGCAACATGCAGAACTAAATGCTGAAACACAAACAAGTATCAGTTAGAAATGCCACTCAATGCATGTACTTACAATGAACAAAAACTTTGTCAGGAAGATTCCGAACAAACTGCTCAGCACCAAACTTCCAGTCCGAGGCACTGTCATAATACAAAAATAATAACTTTATAAGCAATATACAAAAAACAATAAGTCCAGCAATAAGTAGTTTTTTGCACTAATTTTTTTGATAAGAATTTATCACTACTCCACAAAAAATTACCCCATGATGGAAGGTTGATGTCAAACTGAATTGATAACCCCAGTCAGAATTGGCTAGTAATTAAGTATTTCAAAGCGTGTTTGGTATGATGGGAAAAATACGAAGTGATTTTGTGGTGTTCTCCATCAAAAGGGGTAAATATCTTCAATCTTTAACACTCAAAAAATTTCAATGCAGAACACTATCCAAGTTGTTGACAATATGATTAATCTTTAAGAAATATTTTTCACTAACCAATCAAATACCAGAAAACACTTTCCAAGAAAATATTTCCGGCAATAACATTTTCCTTCATACCAAACATCTTAATTGAATTACGGAAGAATCAAATGAGAGTAGATCAGAAGCAGCTTTCTCTCTGTGTTAGTAACATCAGATTTATAATTTACATTTTCTCATCCTCCAAGCAAGGGGAATTCTTGTGATCTGGCTAAAGCGCAATACTATATATGAAGGAGACCATATCAACAATAGGAGTACCAAATAGGTCTAAAATTTTCCCGAAAGAATGAAGCAATTGAAATAGCTCCAAATTCAGGAGCTTAAAATGCTAGTACATTAGATAAAAAAGAAGACGAAAAACTGTAGCTTTACGGGATGTCTTTAAGAAAAAAATTACATGAGTACTGCAAATTAAATAAGCAGTAACCTCTAAAACAACAAATGTTAAAAAATCATGAAATCATCATCGAACAGGAGCTAAGGCCAACGAACTTAATTTATCAAAAAGATGATACTAACGCACTATATATATAAAACCATAATTGTGCTAATTACCTTCCGAGAATACCGTGGACCATCATAACAAGATGATCGGCGGTGGAAGCATCGGATTCTTTAGAACTAAATACATCTTCGCCGCCGTTGACGGTTTCCGACGAGCTAACTCCTCTGTTGTCTACTTCTCCGTTCTCCATTTCCTTTTCTTACTTCTTTTTTACTTTTTTTATTTCTAATTCTCTTGAATTCGCACACTTTATTCACACATTTGATACAGCAAAAAGTATGAAGTAGCTACAGTTGGATTGATCAGAATTTTGAAATAAATAAAAAGTGTAGAAGTTAGGTCGGCCCTTTAAAAAGATCTCTCGAGAGAGAAAGAAAATGGTTGTGACGAAAGACACTGAAGGATGAAGGAGAAGCTGACGACGTGGCAATCACTCTTTATGCAAAGGGAAAGAGGAATTTTTAATTTTGAAAAAAAAAAATATTGAGCAAAAACAGGTAAATGTTGTTAATTAATCATGCCTATATTACGGTTTCATATATCTGACGAATCAGATTGCTTAACGGATCTGTTGAGTTTGGATTCTACTGAAACAGAAATGTTTCTTTTTGTGGAAAATGAATCTTTTAAAAGTAGAATTCAGTTACCAGCTTTGGTTTTTTAAGTAGAATTCAGTTACCAGCTTTCATAAATTTATAAATATCACTCATTACTGCACATTATTCGAAAGAATATTACAACACAAGTAAAAGAACAAAGTTGTTGGCAGTCAGGAGTTTCATTTTCATGAAATGATCATAAATGGTTTCAATTATTATGAGATTGGATCACATGATCGATTAAACTTGATCACAGTAACCTCTAACTTGACATGCATAGAATTGATAAATACTACTTATTCCGTTTTATTTTATATGATATTATTTATTTGATGAGTCAAATAACACATTCTTTAATTACAATTGTTTTGAATAATTCTTTTAATATTTTCAAGTATTAAAAGTTATTGTATAAGAGTTATAGATTGTATGTAGTCTTTGATTATTTGATTCCATGAGAAAAGATAATGTTCAAATCGAGACAAAAAAAAATAGAAGGTTTGATCTTCATATTCCCAAGTCCCAATTCTTGCTCTTTTTGAAACGAAAGAAGTAGGGAATTAATTAGAAAAGTAGAACTTTCTAAACTTTTTCCCATTTTTGTTTAAAGGGAACAGAGAGAAAAAATGAGAGACACGCCCAGTGGGACTCGAACCCACAATCGCTTGATTAGAAGTCAAGCGCCTTATCCATTAGGCCATGGGCGCTTGTTGTTCACTCCAGCACTTTAGTTTATAATTTACTACTTACTATGCGATGAATTTTTCAACCACCAAAAAAATCCTTTTTCTCTTCTATTTCAATCAAAATCCTAGTGCAAATAGTTCTTCTTCTAACAGCATTTAGCTTAGTCCTCTTTTATCGTATGATATTTAATATCTTGAGATATTTGACACTATCTAACTTTGTTATAAGGACATTTAAATTATATCAAGTTTTCAAAGCCATTTTTATTAGGGTGAGCGTTCGGAGCAATTTAAATTGGATATGAAAATTTCGGTTTGGATGTTGATTTTCGGTTTGATCGAATTTTTTAAGTTCGATTTCGGATTAATCGGTTTCGATATTTCGATTTTGAGCCTATAAGTTGAGTTGTTTCTTCTTCTAACAAAAATTAACATGCAAATGAAGTATTCATGTTAAATTGCCTAAAAATTTCTCATTTTCACCGCAATCATCCAAATAAAGTATTCAAGTAATGAAATCATTATCAATAAGTGCAACAAAGACATTAATAAGCCTAGTAAAAATTAGCAATAGTATAATCATATCCAAATAAAAAGTAGTTAGACAGTGACTTAGTAATTAGCATTAAATATATGAGTTAATATAGACTTATTACTATTGGCATATGGATAATGGATTAATGTCTAATGGGTAGCATTATATATAAAGTATAAAAATTTTGGATTTTCGAATATTCAAAAACCCAAAGTACGAAATCCAACATCCAATCTGAAATCCAAAAATTTAAAAATTAAATCGGAAATCAAATTCATAATCCGAAATTCCACATTAAAAATCCAAACAATTCAAATTTTAGTTTAGATTTCGAGTTTGCCCAAACCATATCCGCACCTAATTTTCATTGATAATTCAAACTTGCATGATTATTTACTTGGAGGTGTCCTGCAAGACTATGCATATTAATAAATGCTAATGTACGAGAGTGGTTGGAGGGTTGGAACTGATTTCTCATATAATATGTCGCATTCTTATTGATAATTTCAAGGTATAAATTCTCGTCTACTGAATATTTATGAGAGAGAGAGAGACACGGGATTAAAAAAAATGGTTTGTGATAGGGGAGGGCCTTGGTCGATTCGGTTCGATTGTGAATATTATCGGTTTAGAATATCGGTTATCGATTTATAAATATGCAAAACCGATAGCCGAACCGATAAAATATCGATTATTAATTATTGATTGATCGATTATCAATCATTATGGATTCGATTATCGGTTTACCTCATAAAATAACTCAATCTATAGGTGAGAAGCATAATGTGTAACACACGTGGACTGAATTTCAATCACTGAAATTTGCATAGTAAGATTCCAAGCATAGCCATAGTTTTATCCGCTAACTCAAATTCCCCTGTTAATGGCACAAATGCAACTTCCAGTAATGGAAAATGCAACTTTTATTAACAAACATGTATATCTGAAGCCCTGTTAATGGCACAAATACAACTTCTACCATTGATGGAATGAAGACATTGAAGAGTGAACTGTGAAGACTTGAAGAATGAAGAGTAAGGACTGCAGCCGAGAAAAGCTTGGAGAAAATGAGAATGTACTGAAGGTCTAAAACCATACAACAACAACAACCCAGTATAATCTCATTAGTGAGGTATGGGGAGGGTAGTTTATACGCAGACTTTACCCCTACCCTAGGGTAGAGAGGCTGTTTTCGATAGACCATCGGCTCCCTCCCTCCAAGAACTCCCCACCTTACTCTTGGGGTGACTCGAACTCACAACCTCTTGGTTGGAAGTGGAGGGTGCTTACCACTAAAGCAACTCACTCTTGTCAATGTCTGAAACCATAGATGTATTTATATACTTAAGGGTAAAGTCATAATTTTATTAATTCTTATTGGGTTATCGGTTAACCCATTAATAAAATTAGGCAAATCGAGATCCGAACCGATAACCCAATGGCCAAAAATACATCGTTATCGAACCCGTTAATGTAATAACCCGATATCGATAACCCAATAAAGTTTTTCGATTCGGGCTATCGATTTTACCAGATATATGCCCAGCCCTAATTTGTGATTAAGAGATTTAGGGGTCGTTTGATATAATTATGGGATAAATCAAAATATCCTATGGAGTGAGATATTCCACAGCATTAGCTATCCCACTTTTCATATGGAATAGTTATATCTAACGGGACGGGACGGGCCGTCCCGTCCCGTCCCGACCCACTTAAATCTAAACGGGATGGGCCCATATTAAACGGTACACGGGATGGGACGGGATGCCCATTTCATTCTGTTTATCCCGTCTCCATCCCGTCCCGCCTGTCCCGTCTGTCCCGCATATTTTTTTTAAATATTATGGTATATTTGTGAAATTTCTATTATATTTGGTAAGTATAAAACAAATCTAACCTATCAGTAGCATCGGAGAGTATTTTTAGCGTGACAAGATTTCAAATCGGAGATCATAGACATTCATTAGTGGAGGACAGCCTAGAAATTTCTGTTTTATTCAAAGATTGGATTAATTCAGAAAGAGAAAATCTTGGTTTTGAAAAATTAACCACTAGGGAAGAAGAAGAATACAATGAGATACTTAGCACTGGGAGCGATGACGACATGGAATTCATGGAACATCAATCAACATTGCCAATTTCAGAACAATGTCCGAGAGAATTATAGATAAGCTACAATAAAACTATATAGGAGCTTACAAATATTGGTATGATAGTTTGTAATTGGCTACTAAGAGGCTTAGTTCAAACAGAACCCTTCCTAGAAGGTGGCTGTGTATATTAGGTGCTTTTCATAAGAATTATATTTATATGTGAAATTTGAAAGTTCTATTAATAAAAGAAAAGGCTCTGAGCCATGAATTTTTTTATGAATTGTCTTACACTTTTACTTAGTTACTTAATGGCTTGAAATTATATTAAATAAATTACAACTCTATTATAATTACTAAAATATTTCATTACAAGTCTTTTGTTTTAATATTTTATAATTCTTTACTTAGTTTCCTAATTTTCTTATAATTTATTAAGTTTAAGGTTATTAAATAAGTCAAAAAACTAGTTGTTGCAAACTTTAAAAACTTAGTCATTGTCAAAAAATTAGCCGTTGCCAAACTTAATGCTTAAATAATTTAAAAAAAATTAAAAAACGGCCCACTTAAGGCCCGCGAAATCGTCCCGTCCCGTCCCATCCCATCCCGTCTTGTCCCGTCCTATCCCGTCCTGTCCCGTTTGTTAGCGGGATGGGATGGGCCTACCATTTCATCCCGTTTATCCCGTCCCGTTTAGGCCCATCCCGCCACCGTCCCGGCTAAATGTCGTCCAGTCCCGTCCCGTTTATTTGGTCCCGTCCCGTTGGACAACCTTAATTTTAGTATAACACTTATCCAAGAATTAGTTAATATTTATAAATAAATATTGGAATATACAATATCAAATTTTATCCCGGGTATCTTTATCCTTGTATCAGACGACGCTCGAAGGATGAAGGAGGTTGACCACGTTGCGAGGACTCTTATCCAAATGCCAAAGTGAAACAACAACAACAACAACAACAACAACAACCCAGTATAATCCCACTAGTGGGGTCTGTGGAGGGTAGTTTGTACGCAGGCCTTACCCCTACCCTGGGGTAGAGAGGTTGTTTCCGATAGACCATCGGCTCCCTCCCTCCAAGAACTCTCCACCTTACTCTTGGGGTGACTCGAACTCACAATCTCTTAGTTGAAGTGGAGGGTGCTCACCACTATAGCAATCCACTCTTGTCAAAAATTTCAAAGTGACACTACTAGAAATTCGACAAAAACCGACCAAGGTCGACCGACCAACTTTGGTCAGTCAAAAAACCGGCCAAAAAATCGACCAAAGTTGGTCGGTTTTCAAAATATTTTATTTTTTAATTTTTTTTTACTAAACCGACCAACTTTGGTCGGTTTTCTTTGGCGCAAAAATGCGGGAAACTATTTTTGAGTCCCGCGAAATTTATTTTTCAAGAAAC